AGTTTAAGCATCCTTTTATCCAATTACACCATTTATCCCCAAATCCACGTCTTCTTGACATCTCCAGCAGGAAACTCCAATCCACCAAGTCATAGGCTTTCTCCAAGTCCAGTTTGCAAACAAATCCTTTCCTGCCTGATCTCCTTATCTCTTCCACACTCTCGTTTGCAATAAGTATCTGATCTGTGATTTGTCTATCCTATAGAAAGGCTCCTTGTGCTTGGCTAATGAGAGAGGGGAGAACTACTTTGATCCTCCTAGAGAGCACTTTTGCTAGAATCTTATAGATGTTTGTCACCAGGCTAATTGGCCGAAAATCTTTGGAATGTCTGGCATCATTCTTTTTGGGAATTAAGGCTATAAAGGTGGCATTGATTCCAGGACTCACAAAATGTTTATCCTCTAATTCTCTAAATACTCCAATTAAGTCTTCTTTGACTATGTCCCAACAGTCCTGATAAAATGCCATTGTAAATCCATCAAGACCCAGTGCCTTGGCCCTATCCATAGAAAAAACTTGTTTAATTTCCTCTTCCTCAATCATTCTTTCCATCCATCCCTTATCTGTTTGGTTCAAAGTTGGCTAATTCTCCTCCCCTACTATTAACTGATTCTCTAAGGGTCTTTGAAAGATGGATTTGAAGTGATCCACAATTCTACTAACAATCTCCTCTTGAGAGGTTATCTCCACACCATCAACCTCAAGCTTTAGTATCAAATTTTTCCTCCTCCCATTAGCCAAAGCATGAAAGAATTTGGTATTCCCATCCCCTTCCTTGATCCACTTATGTCTGGATTTTTGTCTCCAAGAGATCTCCCTCAACAAAGTCTCCTCTAACTCCTTTTTCANTTGGTATTCCCATCCCCTTCCTTGATCCACTTATGTCTGGATTTTTGTCTCCAAGAGATCTCCCTCAACAAAGTCTCCTCTAACTCCTTTTTCAGTTTCCTCCCCATTTCTTTGTCTTGCTCATCCATCATCCCTTGGGATTCTTTTGCATCTAACTCCTCAATCTGAACCAATAATCTAGCTTTTACCTCCTCCACTCTTCCAAATTGGTCCTTATTCCATTCTTTTATTTTGCCTCTCAACCTTTTTAATTTTTGTGGAATCTAACCCCATCCCATTTCACTTCTCTCATCTCTTCACTCTACCATTCCTTAACCTTAGGCAAGAAGTCCGGGTGTGTCAGCCACATATTTTCAAACCTGAATGGTCTAGGTCTATTACCAAGAGGTTCTTGTCCTACTATAGGGTAGTGATCAAAGGTTATCCTAGGCAGGGCCTTAGCCACCAAACCTCTCCAGTGGCTCTCCCAACCCTCATTAGATAGGAATCTATCAAGCTTTGAGCAGATTGGGTTTTCTTGGAAGTTGGACCAAGTGTAGGTAGCCTGTAATAAAGGGAGCTCCCGTAACTCAGGAATTTATGAAGTCGTTGAACTTCCTCATACTAGTTGTAATGGCTTGCCTAGGATTATTTGACTCATTTGTGAATCTTATTGCATTAAAATCCCCCCAAACACCAAGGACCTTCCCACAAACCTTGAATTCCATGAAGTTCCTCCCATAACTCATTCTTCTGTCTGTGATTATTTGAACCATACACATTTGTTAGCACCCAAATAAATCCATCTTCCACCATTCTGAATTTTAGGGATACAGTGAAGTTTCCTATTAGCTCCTCTACTGGTTCTACAAAGTCCTCCCTCCACAAAGTTACTATTCCCCCCGAGGTTCCCCACGACGGAGCTGAGCACCATCTTACCCCTCTTATTTTCCACATCTCCCTGACCCACCTATCCAGTTTAGCTAATTTTGTCTCCTGCAACATCACAACATCAGGGCTTTCTCTCCTAAGTAGCTCCTTAATCGATCTCCTTTTTCTGGCACTACCCAAACCCCTTACGTTCCAGCTTATTATCTTCATTACCTTTCAAGAATTTAGCCCTCTAATATAGTGTTCCTTCATTTAGAACCCTTCTTTCTTTCCCCTCTGCCACTAAACTCGATATCCCCTTCAATGTCCATTATTAGTCTCTCTACTTCAGACTTTTTCTTCTTTTTCCTACCCTTATTTCCCACTGACTTCCTATTCTGCCCTTTATTTCCTAATTCCTACCCCAATCTATTGATTCTTGCCTCTGATCTAGGGTTTTTCGGAGCCACCTCTATCATTTCCTCCAGCAGGGCACTAATCTGCTCCCAAATCCATTCTAACTCCTCTTGTTTCCTTTCTAACAATCCAACTCCCTTCTCTGATCGGACTCCATCATTATCAATCGCCACTTCCCTGCTACCAGTTGGTTGGTCTGGTTGGGATTCCAGGACATCTGTTACAGGCAGAGAACCCAAGTTAGTATCTAAAACCAAATGGACTGGCTTACCTGGAATTAGCATAGATGGTTGCATGTGGACTGGCTGCTAGGTATCAATTCTTGGAGTCAGGACTAGGCCCTTCCCCTTTTCCAGACTCAGTCGTGGAAGCAGACTGGGTACAACCAATACTTTCTCACCCTCTACAATCATAGAAACTTCACTTCTCTTTCCCTCTGCGTGAATCCTTAGGTAAGGCTTCAAGTCTGATTCCTGTCTCTCTGGCTTGATGTCCTGACTAGGCTGCACATATGGAATGGATTCATTTATTGGCTGGGATGCAATCTGCCTTACCTCTTTAAGTGTTCCCAACTCTACCTGTCTTTTGTATAGCATACCCAGTTTGGGAAAGATTTGTTCGCCGCTGCTAAGGCTCACTCTTCTTTGCGTTTTGATATTACCAGAATCTTGCGAATCCGTCTCCTCCTCTAGGAATAACAGTTCAGTGTTTAGGCTACCCTCTTCCAGTATATCTCTTGGTTTTTGGAGGTCGATACTTCCCTAGCTAATGGTTTCTTCCAAATCAGAGTCGAAAACCTCACTGCTCTTCACACTCCTGGGGTTACGGCATTCCTGTTCCTTATGCAGCATCTTCTTCGAGGGTCTCCACTGTAACGAGTTGGAGACCTTCGCTGAACTGTTCAAATGAGAGAAAGGGCTTGAGGAAGACGATGGTATACGGATTTTACTGTCTACCTGAGGAGCCAACCTTGTCACGTTCTCCTTTAAGTTGTCACGCGCCCCCCTCACTCTTGGGTCTTTTAAGCATAGCCCACTTAACTTTTCGGGCCTACTGGGCCCAGAATTATAATTTAGAGATGGGCCTGCTGATTGGACCCCCGTGCATATTCCTGAGGCTACCAATACCTCTGCCCGACCTGATGAACCACCTCCCT